CATAACAACAAAAACATGAACAATATTGAATTTAAAGATAGATAGATAAATAAAATTTAATTTTAAAGCCAATCTTGTATGCCAATTAATGTGAAACCAAAGGGTAAGAACTTTAGATCCCGCAATCAAGATTGAATACAAAATCAAGAAAGCTTGAATAAAGCTTGACCCAATAATTACCTTGACCATAAAACCAAAGTTACAAAGATTAAATGCCACAAAGAAGTAATCTTTGATAAATTTTGAACAATTCAATAAAGAACCAAGAACAAGATAAATCCTCTCCAATATTATTTTTGAAATTAACAAGTTATCACAACTTACAAACCATAAAGAGTATTTAGAATTATACAAAATAAAATATATTGGAATATTAGGTTGGAATTAAAACCCAAATATAAACTGCTTTAATAATATTTTTAAAATAAAATAACAAAACTCAAGTCTTAATAAGTATAAGACTCATATCGTAAGTCTTTTAATAATTAAATCTCTAATCCACATAAAATTAGGATTCTACCCAAATTGCCTCTTAGAAGGAATTTTAGCCCAAACTCACAAGCTATAAGGAAAACCAACTCCAAACTAAATCTAAGCTCAAATCTACAAGTCACAAGAAAAATAAACCCTAACCTGCAAGCTAAAATTGTCCTTCTCTAGCATGAGTTACATTTATAAAAGTCTAATTCTTTTTACAACTAAAATTAATTTCTTTACATCACCTTAGAAGGAATTCTCAAAGTTTTTTTGGCCCAGATATCTCGAATAATCCCATTAAATGCCTCTTTGATCATCTTGACTCTTGCTATTATAATCAGCCCAATTACAATATGCAATGAATCTTATGGTGTTGCTTGCTGATTTTTATTCTTATTTTGACTTATATATACTTTATATCAAGAATAGTTTTCATATAAATGTTAATAGCCATCATAACCATTAATATGCTTGAAATGCATCAAATTGATATAAAGATAACTTTTTTAAATGGTGAACTTAACAATGCAATTTATATAGAACAACCCAAAGGTTTGTTATTAAAAGGCAATAAAATAAAATATTTAAGTTTGTTAAGTTATTATATAATTTGAAATAAGCTCCTAAACAATGACATGAAAAAATAGATAGTTTATATTGACAAATGAATCTAATATCAACATGGTTGATAAATATGTTTAGATTAAAAACACAAATAAATGATATATCATTGTATATCTCTAGATGGATGACAAGTTAATTTAAGGCAACAATAATGCATAATCAAGTATACCAAGAAAACTTTGGCAACGATAATACATGATTAAGTATAAAAAAAATATTAACTAATAAATTTGATATGAAAACTTGAATGCTGTAAGTGTCATCCTAGAAATAAAAAATTCTACGATAGATGATAGATTGGTATTATTTCAATCTCATTTTTTGAGAAAATTCTTGATAGATTTTTTAAAGTTGTCAATAAAACTATCAAAATGCCAATAAATAAAAGTGTACATCTATAAAAATAAAAAAAAGGTGAGGAAACACATCACTTGAAATATTTTTAAATAATTGAAAGTTTGATTTATATTATGAGCTGAATGGGACCAAATATTGTATATTTAGTTAGTAAGCCAATATATTTAGTTAGTAAGCCAAGTAGATTTATAGTAATTCAAGTATTGATAATCGAAAAGTAATAAATTAGTGCTTAAATATTTAAGATATATCTTGGACTATGGTTTTTACTATGTTGGATACTTGATGGTAGTTGAAGGTTATAATTATGTAAATCATGTTTTTAATATTAAGAATTTAAAACTTATTCGTTGATATGTCTTCAAACATAGTGAAGCAGTTGTATATTAGAAATCCTATAAATAAATATGCATCGCAATATCTATGATAGAATCAAATTTATAGCTTTTGATAAAGCTAGAGAAGAATTCGAGTGACTTTGAAATTTCTTAGATGATATTTCATATTAACAAAAAGCCAATATAAACGATTTATATCCACTTTAATAATCAATCAACAATTAAAAAGACAGAAAGTAGAATGTATAATGGTAAGTTTAGATATTATATTTTTAAACACTTGTTATTGAATAAGATTATTTCTATTAAAGTCAAAGGACAATATTATGAATCCAATTACTAAAGGTTTGACAAGAGAACTTGTGTATAATTCATCAAAGATAATGAGTTTAAAGCCTTTAATGATAAAAGAGTGTCATGATGATAACCATATTTAATTGATTGAAGATCCTAGGGTATATATTTAAATAGAAAACTAAGTCATAATACATTTTTAGTAAAACTCAAGAATAATTATCCTATGCTTATTTCTTTAATAAAAAAGGTGCAAGCTATAAAGTGATAAAAGGGTGGCTTTTAATAAATTTCTCAGTTTAGCTTAGCCTAGATCTATGTTTATGCTAGGACTTGAGACTAGGCTTTAATTTACTATAAATTACTTTTTTTTGTTTTAAAAACTTATTTTTTAACCGGTTCTAGAATAAATTACTAGAACAATAACCTTCCTGTATTTAAATATTTTTTTTTATAAAGAAAAGCATCTAGTTTTCTTAACAAAAAACTTTAAAATTTTATTTTATTTTATGACAGCTAATTAAAGCAATAAATGACGGGGATTCTATATCATTTTTTGTTCAAAACAATTGCACAAAAAAGGATTAAAAGGAGGTGTTTTATATAACAAATAATGACTCTTCACCTTTTTCTCCTTTGTTTTCCAACCTTCCTTTACTTCTTTTTTTTCACTTTGTTTTCTTCTATTATTCTAGAGATTAGGTTCTAGTATTTTGTAAAGCGATGTTGACTATGTTTTTCTAAGTTCATAAACCTTGATAAAAAAAAAATATAACTAATAATGGTAATTGCATTCAATTTATTTATACCAAGTGATAGAAAATAAAATTTTAAAAACAAATGGTACATAATCTTTAATATCAAAGTAATTTATCTATATATCCCGTGTTCTTGAACCAATAAATATACTAAATATTGTGTTTAAACTAAGTTTTAGAGTACATTTTATTCCTAAAATAAATTATATGTAATTAGTTGTATGTTTATTTTGTCATTAAGATTATAAAGTTTTTTCTTGGATAAATATAAAACAACATTAAGTTGACAAAATTAACAAGAATATGTAAATCACATCTAGTAAAACTAAACATTAATATTCATTATGATTTAATATTGGGCGGTGGTGAAGGGTTAATTGATGAATTTTATAATAGTGTAATTAATAAATAATATAATTTAACTAATTTATAAGAGGTGGGCTTGCAATATTAATTATTTTAGGAATTGATGGCTCTTAGACTTAATTAAAGTCTAAAGTGATTCAATAATGATCTAGGTAATAAAAGTCAAGCTTAAGCTTGAAGGGTTTATTTCCTTGGTATGGGATAACTTATACTTTTCAAAATGTTTTTAAAATTATTTTATCATTTAAAAACATTAAATTTATATATTTTTAGATCTTTTCATAATTTTAAATTAAACGACTAGATGCCATATTACCAAGCAGGCAATTAAGTTTGATTCAACAATGACATAAAAAATTGTGAATTTAATCTTGACATTGTCATCTGTTTAATTTTAGATAAAAAATAACAACTAAAATAATTAATTTTTTGCATTCAATTTATTTATACCAAGTGATAGAAAATAAAATTTTAAAAACAAATGGTACATAATCTTTAATATCAAAGTAATTTATCTATATATCCCGTGTTCTTGAACCAATAAATATACTAAATATTGTGTTTAAACTAAGTTTTAGAGTACATTTTATTCCTAAAATAAATTATATGTAATTAGTTGTATGTTTATTTTGTCATTAAGATTATAAAGTTTTTTCTTGGATAAATATAAAACAACATTAAGTTGACAAAATTAACAAGAATATGTAAATCACATCTAGTAAAACTAAACATTAATATTCATTATGATTTAATATTGGGCGGTGGTGAAGGGTTAATTGATGAATTTTATAATAGTGTAATTAATAAATAATATAATTTAACTAATTTATAAGAGGTGGGCTTGCAATATTAATTATTTTAGGAATTGATGGCTCTTAGACTTAATTAAAGTCTAAAGTGATTCAATAATGATCTAGGTAATAAAAGTCAAGCTTAAGCTTGAAGGGTTTATTTTCTTGGTGTGGGATAACTTATACTTTTCAAAATGTTTTTAAAATTATTTTATCATTTAAAAACATTAAATTTATATATTTTTAGATCTTTTCATAATTTTAAATTAAACGACTAGATACCATATTACCAAGCATGCAATTAAGTTTGATTCAACAATGACATAGAAAATTATGAATTTAATCTTGACATTATCATCTGTTTAATTTTAGATCAAAAATAACAACTAAAATAATTAATTTTTTTTAAGATTTAGAATCAAAACAAATAAAATATTATTCAAACTAATCAATTTCACTTCAATCAGTAAACCTTGTAATACATTTGTTGGGTTTTTTTTATTGCGGCTGACTTTTCCAGGTTTTTTTTTAACTTTTTTTAAACAATGGGCTAATTTATTTTTAGAGAGGATTCAAAACTCCAATTTAGCCTAATCATGCTTAGAATTTATAGATATTAGCCAAATGTTTAGGCTTTTTTATTTTTATGATCTGTTCACCTTTCAAAAACCAAAATACCAAATATTGTCGATACTACAATTGATCACAAGTTCCAACTTTTTAGATCCACAATAACTTCAAGAAAACATTCAAATTACTGGTTGCTTATGCTATTGATAATTAAAAGCAAACATTCAAATTAATTAACCATTTCCTAATTCCTATAGTGTGTGCGCGGGCGTGTAGAGTGAGAGAGAGAGAGAGAGAGAGAGAAGCCTAATAAAATTGCCAGGAGAAGGTCCCGGTAAAACTGGGAGGCATGTCTTATTGCAAGCAGAAGCCTAATAAAATCATCAGGAGAAGGTCCTGGTAAAATTAGGAGGCTGCATATCTTATTGCAATTGTATTACCTATAAGTAAAAGGTTGTTATACTGAACTAGTAATGACACAAATTTCTTGTAATAACATTCTTCAACAAGCATATTCCAGCAAGAGATTAGGTTTGCAGAAAACAAATTCCAACACCCATCAAGGTAGCAGCAGTACATGCTCAGGGAAACAAACCATGCAAATTCATACCATTAATGTCAAGCTCTCTACATTCAATAGACACTAAGCATCAGTTGTTTGAAACAACTGTTCAACCTCGGCAATAGTGTTTCTGGCATCCTCAATTTCTGGGCCTTCCTTCTGATCAGATTCTTCCAATTCAGCCTGAAATTAAATTCTTTTTAACAAAACATAAATGGAGAAAAAAAAATAACATCCAGCAAGCTATGAAGGAAAACAAAAGACAGGTTTCTATAGAATTTATGTGACCATAAAAAACCTATCATTTAACAAGAACAGCTTCCTTTTGGATAATTTACCTAAAATACAAACAAGATTCAGCATCTCCCAAGGGTCGAGGCCAGAAGCAACTCTGGATTGGAAAATTTAATAATGTTTTGGCGATGAAATCCAATTACATTAGAGTCCCACTCATGATCATTTTATTCTTTCAAGGTTCCTAAGTGCAAAGTCAAAATCTCCATTCCCACATCTTTCAAATGAGAGGGTAGTGAGATATAACTACCCAGTGGAAGACCCATGTATAGGAATAATAATAACAAGAAAGAAAAAAGACGAGTTTTGGAGTGCATGGATCCAGGCCTAATTCAACCCATGATATCACCCTGACAATGCTGCCAGGTTATATGTACACACACACTCAACTAAACTTAATTCCAAATTAATTACAGTCTACCTCACTCATTCCACCTTATCTAGGGCCAGCCACCCAGACTAAATGCATGCTGATGGGGGGAAACTGGTATGCAAATAACTACAGTTGAAAAGTAGCGAGCACAAAATCATCAAAAATTGAAGTAAAAAACAATAATTCATTTAATTATGCAGCTAAAACTCCTAAACCCACAAAGACAACCACAACAGTGGTGAGCTTATTATTTTGCCGAGTCACAGAATTTTAAGATGTCATAAACATGAGCACAACAAATGTGGCAAATCAAAAATGAAAAGAAACGATACCAAAATTGCTTTGAGGTCAGCCAAGGCAGCCTCTAGGCGTTTACGACAATCTGGAATCATCATCCTCGACTCAGCCAGCACATTTTCCTGCCCAAACCAAAATCAATAGCATTAATTATCAATAAAGAAAAGAATGAGAGATTTAGAGGCAGGGATACATACCTGTTGCTTAAGGTCATAAGGGTCAGCTCCATTGTCCTTCATCTCAGCTGTTTTAGCCACTTCTCTCTCAACCTCTTTCTCATAAGAACGCAGTTCCTTCACTATTCGTTTGCAACTATTTGTCTTGATCTTTGCATTTCTAAGGCTGCTGCTTGCCATGATTTTTCTTTTCTTTTCTTTTCTCTTCTCTTCTAACTATATAACCTAACCACAAGTCATTTCTTATCATAAATAAAAAACAAATGCCAAATTTAACATGGGTTTTGTTTATCATAGGATACAATCAAACATACTCCAAGTGTGAAAAAAACAGAGACCGCACCTTATTATCTTGTCTAGCTTCAATGAGAGAGAGAGGGGCTGGGTGCACGGTGCAGGGACTTATGAGCTGCGAAAACGCTTTCTTAAAGATGCGACAAGGGAAATGGATCTCTTTTCTACTCAATTTTACCACACGTGACTGTCGATTTTCTTCATTTGACATTGGGATAATTACAAATCAGACCCCAGCACATAGAGGTGAAAAAAAAAACTAAAAAACTAATTAAACCAAGGAAATAAAAAAAAACTGAAAAATCAATTAAATTGAAAATAATACAAACAATAAAAACAGAATTAATCAATTACAAAGTAAAAAAATACCGGTAGAGTTCAGTTCTGATTTTAAAAGTCTAAAACCAATTGAAACGGATTAGTTAAACCAGCACTTAAAAAAAGATATAAATAGAAAATTTTGTCTAACCCTAAATCAATATTCACTAGGCCAAAACTAGCCGGCCCTCCCTCTGCTCTCTGTTTCTCACCTCTCTCGTCTATCTTGCATTATTTTTTCTAACAAATGTTGGAATTGATTTATAAAATATGTAGTGGGCCTATAAGGCCAAATTATATGTGAGGTCCATTCTTATTTAAGGTTAAAACAATATTGTATTTTGTGATTTACTGTGATTTAATATGACTATTTTAACATGTTATAAAAAACCAAATAAAACTAAATGAGAAATTATTGTAAATGAACCCTTGAATAGCAAAAGTTTCAAACCCAAAATAGTTTGTAAATTGGGCTATGAGCTTATAGGCGCACGAGTTTGCACTTTGGGTTTGGTTAATGAAAAAATATTTTGCAATCAAATCCTGTTTAATCAGTAATAGTTTTTGGTTCATATCTAAATATTACACTTTCTTATTTTGTCAAGACTACATGTCAGGGATGTACAAATTATGATGCTTTAGTGTAAACATGACATAAAATAAAAATAAATGAAGCCCACGCCGCAAGGTTGGATACATTCTTCTGTGTATTGAATCAAACTTCAACAACAACAGGTTTTGCACTTTGAAAGAGAAGGAAAATTCAGACATCAATTCTTTTTATCCAAATGAACAGGTCTTACAAAAGAGGGCCGATGTTTCATTAGTTACTCTTATAAACATGTCTTAATCTGTCAAGTTTATATGCAAAAAACATGAAGCATGACACTTTAACAAAGTTTTGAGTTATATGTGTGAAAAAACATGTTGGGACAAGTCCAACAGAGGACAAGCAACAAAACAAATTTAGTAGACCCTGCTTTTAACATGTACAGGAGACTTTTGAAAATAAAAATAAAAAATGAGACCATTCTGGTGACCCACTATACCTACAATGCAGCGATCTTGTTATTGTTGATTATAAAAGGGAAGAAAAACGAGTTGTGCCATAATCACAAAAGCAGCAGGCAAGTTCAAAAGTGAAAACGATGTTTACATGACTAATAACAGATTTTCGCTTGCATTCGTGAAAAGGAGGGAAGACCTCGATCTTAAGGTATTTTATATGCCACAATTAATAATTACACGCATTTTCTATGTTTTCCTTCCTTTTCAAATTAAATAAGCATCTTTATCACGCTTGAAAGTGTACAACAGTCCACTGGAGATGTTACACACATAATTATTCATCTCAGTATATATCAGTATATATGCATGGATCCTGCCTGTCTGTATTAATCAGTGGAATGGTATAATCATGGACTTTGTGTTTTTAATTTCATCATTCTAGAAAGCCTTTTATTTTGAATAAATAACTACAATAGGGGATCTGAGTTCAATAAACTAGAAAATGATTTTATTTTTAAGTTTTGTTGATTCCCATTTGGCATCCAAACTAGAAATGACGAGTTAAGTTTCGATGATTAATCAAATATCAAGCTGACGATCATACTTGTGCAGGTGAGGCAGCTAAGAAGGGAACTAGGAGAAGATCAACAGGAGTATGATCGGCTTATGGTTGAATTAACATCATTAGATACGGTTGAGGAAAAGCATTTAGCAAAGCACCAATGGCTTTGAAAGATTCAGATTTCAACTTCATCAATACTACCTAGTGTAATTAGCCGTTTTCTTGCCATTTACCGAGTCATTTCATCTTTTTCATCAAACAAATGTAATGGTTATTTCTGATTGGAATGTAGGGAAAAATTATTTATTTTAGCTTCCTTAGCGATTTTCACTCTTTCATGCAATCATTAAATAGTCTTAGGCTTTCTTCTCTTTGACTTTTAATTGCAGTGACGCCTGACTTTTCTGATGCCATACTGGATGAGTTAAGACTTATATATATGTATATATTTGAGTTTTCAAGTTTACTTGTTCTTTATGTTATTACCCAGGAACGCCAGAATTCAGCCACCAGCCTTCAATGAAAAAAAAAAAAAAACCGACAGAGAAAGACAGAGAGAAATCTTACAAGAAAGAAGTGAACTTTGCAGAGGAGATACAAGAGAAGGGTTCTTATATGGACTGCTGCTGAGGCCTCGGGGTGCTGCAAAACGTACCTGTACAACATACAATCAGAAGTTAGGGATGGTGTTGTAACAATGGCAATGAACAGAAACGAAACTATAGAAAACAAAGATTAAAGGAAAACAAGAATTGAAAGAACAGATCAAATGAAGATCTGGAGATGCAGGTTGAAGAATGAAGATTGAAAGGTTGGGTGTGGCGTGTGGGAGCTTGAGAGGGGGCTGATGTTTTGCTAGATATGGAGAATGGAGATGAAGATTGAAGAATAATTGAACTTGATAAATCTTACATAAAAACATTACAATGTGAAAATAATTCAAATTTGCATCGATCATATAGATTAACAACATAAATAGACAATAGATATTAATATGCTAATTAAAGGGGTGCATTTCAAATACCAGATAAAAGAGGCAGCAAGTAAACCTTTTAAACAAATAAAAAAGGAACATTCAACAACAAATTCTTTAAACAAAAAAGGTTCAATTTCAAGAAAACATTTCCTCATGAACATAAGTGTTCTACAAGGGTACTTGTTTTTTCTGCAAAATCTACAACCTGCACAACTTTCCAACAAATAACCTTAAATCTCTAGAGATTGCATTTTCCATTAATATCATGCATTATATCTAATTTGTTATACCAAACAATTGAACATTAAACTAAAGCTCTAATGCACTCTCATCCACTTATGATAATTATGTTTGCAAATTCATGAAACATGCACAACATGTGATAAATATTGAATAATTGATGATGTTATATATGAGTTAATTTAAATTTTTGGTGTGGCAAATGGAAGGGTTTCCGTAAGATTCATATCAATCAATGACCATGCAGAGAAGTAAATTTTTACAACAAATAAAACACAGAAACAATCTCTTTAAATTACAATTGTGAATCTTGATTATTTAATTTAACAATATTAAACAAGCATGCAAATTGAACAAAGAACACTGCTGGTTTTCAGATTGAAGGAAGGAAGACTCTTTGATATGATCCAAACAACAAAAAAACAATTAGATTTGGATTCTAACGTAAACTGCGTAACTGTCCAGTTTTACAGCAATAGTCATAATTCTCAATCCGACAGTTGAATCGGACTGAAATTTTACATGGACTCTCCTGACATGTTTTCCTATTTTGGGTTAATATTTCAGGTCAATCAAAGTTCGGGAAGGCATCGCAATATTAGTCAACAAAGGCTATATAAATTTTGTTATTTACTTTCTTTTGACTTATGGACTTTCTATTTGGCTAGGATTTTTTTTCCTACAAGGACGTAGCAGCTGGTTTTGATAATTTTCTAGTTTTGCAAGGATATTTAATGGGCAACAACATAGTTTTCATTTGTGATATGAAGTCCGTATTAATCTGAAAATCCTTATAATGTATGAAAACAATTATTTTATCCTTAAAATCTATCATCAAATAAGTTTTCAAGTTGGTCATGGATACTTTGCAAACAAAGAAACTAAAGAGAAGGCAAATTCATATTTGATTCTTCTAGCTTATATAAAACTTCTAATGAGCAACAAATCTAATCATATCATATTTAAGATATCAAATTTGGATTTATTATTGTTATTTTCTTCTTAGTTTAGAGTTTATTTATATTATTTAGGTTTAATTGTAAGTGAACCTCATATAAGTCCACATTAGGAATCCATTAGGATTTGTTTTAATCTAGAGAGTATAAATAAAAACATAACCAAACATGCAAGGTTACGCAATTTTCAGATCAATAAAACTTCTTCAATTGTAAATGAGCATCCTTTCCTTAGTCTCTAAAGAACTGAAAAATGACTAAACTTAAATGTTTTATTCATCTGAATTGTCTAACCTTAAATGTTTGATTATGCTTTTATTTATACTGACTCTAAACTGAAACAAACCCTAATGGATCCCTAATGTAAACTTATATGAGGCTCACTTACAATTAAACTCAAATAATATAAATAAATTTTAAACTAAGAAGAAAATAATAATAACAATAATAAATCTGAATTTAATATCCTAAATATGATATGATCAAATTTGTTACTCTTTAGGAGAATCAAATCTTAAGTTACATCCTCTTTAGTTTTCTTGTTTGCAAGGTATCCCTAACTGACTTAAAAACTTATTTAATGATAAATTCATACTATAATAAGGATAGAATAATTGTTTTCATACACCATAAGGATTTCATATTAATACAGAGTCCATATCACACATAAAAACTATGTTGTTGACCATTAAATATCATTGGCAGACTAGGAGATCCCCAAAACCAATTGTCACATCCTTGTATGAAAAAAATCATCGCCAAATAGTAAGTCTACAAGTCAAAAAATAACAAAATTCGTACAGCTTATGTTGACCAATATTGCGAAGCCTTCTCAAACTTCAATTGACCTGAAATTTTAACCCAAAGCCTTCCCAAACTTCAATTGACCTGAAATTTTAACCTAATATAGAAAAACATATCAAGAGACTCCATGTAAAATTTTAGCATAATACAGCAGTCAGATTGAGAATTATTACTGTTGCCATAAAACTGGACAGTTACACATTTTACGTCAGAATCCGAATCTGATTTTATTTTTTTTTTGCTCGAATCCTAGTTTTCAAAGGATGAAAAGCAGA